ATGAATAGTATTGCAAAAGTTTCTTAGTTCATTTGGTAAAACGTCTACTTTATTCAAACACTTAGAGACATTCTAAGCATACATTTAGTCAGACTTCATGATTGTATGATACTTAAATTATATATAGGGTACTTCTATTACTAACAGTTCATGAATATATTTGTGAAGTAACCAACCATGTTATTAAAATTGTTGATATTTTTTTATCTTTGTAGAAACTACTACGTACATTAGTCTCTCTCTCTCTCTCTCTCTCTCTCTCTCTCTCTCTCTCTCTCTCTCTCTCTCTCTCTCTCTCTCCATATCGACAAATTGGTACCTATCCGTGGAGGCATCGCCCCACGAGGTGAGAATTAATTTCATCTCCAAATAAAAGTTGACTTCCAAAATCTTCGTTACAATACTTCTCTCTAGGTGCTGAATTATTTTTTGAAATCATCACATATTAATTGAAAGTAATCTAAACTAAGTGTGTATATATATATATATATACATACATATATATATATATATGTATGTATATATGGAGCACAATACCCTATTGAGATTGTAAATATTCTCATAAAAAAGTGATAATTTTATTTAAACATTAAAAAATATTTTAATCAGACTCCGACATTCTCATTTTCAATGTTATTTATTTGAAAAATAGGCAAACTAAATAATCTATTATTTACAAATCATTGATCATTTTGGTTGTTGCAATGATTTTAGGGTTGTCTATCATAATACCATTCACATTTGTCCGAATTTGCAATATTTATGTGGCTAATAACTTTTTTATTACTTTTATTGTCCAACTTTTTGCATCATACATAATGCATTGAAAATTTAAGATAAAAATTATTTTTTTATTCTTCAACAATGACAACACAAAAATAATTCAAAACAATGAGACAATATTGAAAATCACATATGTTGACCTATGTAAATTAAGTCAACTATTGTGGAAATTTCCCTAAATAAAAACAAGATAAATAATGAAAATGAGGTCAGATGACCGTCTTTATACAATAAATCATCTTGGGTCGTATAAATATCGTCACCTATTTTTAGAAAGAGAATAAAATTTGTGTCTTTTATTACAATAAATGAGGGGTATTTATAGTGCTAAACCTACAAACACTGTTTAGGAGGTCACTACAGTAACATTAAATGCAATTTGATGGTGACGTGTTGCTTTGCAGGGAAGGACTCACTCCTAATTATCACATTTCGATAGTATGATGGACATGCATTCTGTCAACCATTAATGCGTTGGCAGAGGTCGGTATTTGAGAGGTATAAGTTGGCCTCCGATCTCAATCCTTTAAATACTCTATGGGTGGTTTCCTTTGATGCCGAGCTAAATGGTTTTCCCATCATTCTCTCCTTGAGGTCGGGTGATGTAGATTGTGTCACGTGTCTTGTAGAGATTGCACTCGCCAGTTTGGATGTCAACAAACAGGCCTCCGAGCTCAGATGGTTTGCAATTTGGTCAAATCATTTGAGGTCGTAACCCAATAAATCATCCGAACTAATTTGGGTGTGGGGTACTTAGTACAAAATTCAAATTCCATAACGATTTAATTCCGTTGTTTGGAAGGACCTTTTTCCTGAAAAGACATGTCTGAATAGTTACGACTTTTGGGATGCATGCACGTCGATTCTCCAAAACGACATTAGCATTAAATATAATACACACTGTATGGTACGATTTTTCCAATCGACTCTTTGTGTGATGACATGGCATCGTTTCATAGGCTGATCGGTACCTATATGTATAAGACCCCCATTTGACCTAATTTTTTACTTTTTGAAATTTGCAAACTTCATCTTCTCGAGAGCTCCTTATCCACCATTTTTGCAGTTTTACAAGATTCAAATTCTGGTAAGATTCTTCTTCGATTCTTCAATCTTTATTAAATTTGCAATGTCGTCTTCATTGGGCGAGGTAGTCGGTACGACACCCTCACAACACGCAGTACTGAACTGGAAGTTTTCACCGCCGTGTGGCCGTGTGGGGGTGGTTGACATGGCATTTTTGCCGCCGCCTGAGATGAATGATACGATATCCTCGCCGCACAAGGACGTCAACATGAAATTGGTCGACAAGACTCTATGAGGGGACACCCGAGGTAGAAAGACTTTATCTGGTGAGAGGAGATGTTCAGGAGGATATCACCATGGAGAAGGTAACCGTCGTGCCAGATGATTATTGACGGAGGTCGTGACGTGTTTGGCCAGAGACGAGTTATACGATTATGAATAATACGACCAGCAAATGACCGATGATGATTTCTTTATGTTGCGGGAATCAGTTCGAGTTCCCTCCAGTGTTCGAATGTTCGCTCTCTACCCCGAGGGAAGAAATCCATAATCTGTCGCTGGGGTTGTATAGGTGTATTCAATCAAATAATGGTATTCGGGCTTAGGTTCCCCCTCTCCACTATTACCGAATATGTCAAGGAGCTCGGTATAGTCTTTAATAAGATATCGCCGAACGCCTGGGCCAAAATGATCAGTTTAGCGGTCAAGTTCCTCCAAGAAGGGTGGCCGGTGCCTAAGCCCGAGGAAATCCTTGACACATTTATTTTTAAGGAAACCCACACGAAATCGGGTTGTTTTTACTGCTCGGTTGGGAAGGGTAATGATAAAGAATTGATTACCCGACTCCCCTATACATTACATGACTTTCAAAAATAGTGGTTTTAGGTCGGTGGGGATTGATTGACCTTATGGTGCAGCTAATGTCGGACAGGACGGTGATGTGATGTTTGTCCTGACGAAATTCTTGACAGGGAACTATAAGTTCTTATTCCATCTCTTATCCCTTTCTCTGAATCTGTTTTTATATCATGCTAGCAGGTCGACCTTTCCCATTATCAGTACAAAAGGTGGTGCCCAATCTTGACTCGATTTTCTTACACCAATTAGACGTTTTATTCAAGAACTCAGACGACTGCTACTGAATAGATCTCGTGAAGGCGAGCTCCTGCGTAAATATGAGGTAAGCGAATTTCGTAGATTACAACTTTGAGTCAGGTCGATTATCTGTATGCCTTTTTTTTTTTATTCTGATATTTTGTTTTGTTGATAAACTTCTTTACTTGGTACACATACTATTTGGTTCGATATATGATTTTTCCTTGATCTCTCATTTTGAATCCGTCTTTTTTTAGTGTACTATCCTTTCATTGGTTTCTGTGGATTTTCATCCGTGAAGGATACGAGAGAGTACGAGCGCACCCACCCTAATCTAGAAAAGCAGAAGAAAAAAGAAATGAATCATATGTCATTTTTGCTATGAAGGTCAACATTTGGCCAGAGGAGCAGCCAAACACCTTCTGTCGCCCATGGCGAAGAGGGGTCAACAACTGCTGGTCGAATGGCGATTCAGACCGAGCCCACGAGGTTGGCTCGCGGGGAAATGACTGACGGAACAAGTGGGTCCTGGGAAAAGAAGCGATCTTTACCAAGCCGAGTTAGCCAGAGAGAGGCTAAGAAAAAATCCGTCGGGGTCCCTAAGAGCGACCTAGAGAAGAAGTTGGATATTCCCATTCGTCAAGAAATGACGACCACCTACCTCCCGGTTGACCCAAAAAGGGTAGAGCGCCTAGGTGCTGACTGAATTCCTATAGTGGTTCGTCTACTTCAAATCCGTTGCACCTCACACTTTCGAATCACTATCACCTCCCTAATCATGTCATGGATACTTCTCGAGTCTCAATGATGAGTTGAGACCCATGGATACGTAGGCATTGACGGGGCAATCTAATGCTTAGCGTATCGAGCATTCAAGGGGTTGTCTAAGTCGGGTCTTGACCAATTTTTCTATCTCCATCGACGAAGCATGGAAAAACAGAGTCCAACTTTTGTTGGTTAAAGGACCAACACGAGCTCTATGAAGGTGAGAACGACCTCCTGTAGAGACCAGATAAAAAATGAGGCCACGATCGAACACAGGTCGACCAAGCTTGACATAGAGAATAAGAAGCTGAAGTCCAAGAACTTCAAGCTTAAAACACGCTCGACGTGGCTCTAAGGGTCTAGGACGTCCTCCAAAAAAAATGATATGATCATGCCAAGCACCAGCGGGAGCTAGAGGTGCTGCAGGGAGAGAAAAAGGTGTTGCTGGCTCAGGTGGACGATCTCTCCAGGAAGGTCAACCAGGACCGAGATGTGCTTATTTCTTAAGGTCGGAATGTTAGTATATATATTGAAATCTTGACATTGGATGTTATTTGCACTACTTCTGCTGAATGAGAATCGTGTTTATTAATTAAACAAGTTTTATGTTCTTTTGTTTTTGCACTTAGATAAATTTGTTCATCCATACCACCTTCGACAGGTAAACCTTCACCTTCTCACCCCTTCCGACCACGAGAGAAAGCTATGCGAGTGGATTTAAAAATTAAAATTGGAACTGACGCAATTTACAGAATTAGAAGCCTTTGCACAATTTCGAAGTGGTAAGGTATCGGTTCCATCGCATCGTAAAAATGAATATTTTATCGATATAGAACATTCATCTCGAAAAAATGATTTGAACCGCTTTTTTCTAAAAAAATCTAAAAAAGGACATTTTCACCCGCTAATGAACAATAGATTGACAGAAATAATCCTGGGCGGTCCGCATATGCAAGTCAGATTCTGAACCATCCAACTTCGACTTAACCTTGAATCTCAATTATACAGATGGATAGAAGATCATTTTATCAGTCACTTGCGAAATGTAAATAATTGGTTCACAACCCAGATTGAAATGAAAAAACCATCGAAATGGTTGTAGTGGCAATTGTACAGTTTGTCTTAATTGATTAGTTGCACTAGTACACTTGTGTATTAAACAAATCCCAGAGATGAGCAGTTCGTTTTATACTGATCGTCGTAACGAACTAGGTCTCGGTTAATTACTGTCTTCTCTTAACCTCTAAGATATAAACAAGTACATGTATGTAATATACACTACTTTTATTCACATGCCACACTACTTAGATTCACACGCCGCGCACCGCTACTGCGCACGATCCTCGACCAGCCGAGCACATCGCACGACATCCGCGCGCACGCAGCCCCTCCCCAGCTACACGATGCGCGACCAACGGTGCCTCGTCTGACGATCAGCGACAATTATGAGCTTTCAGGGACAATCAATTTTGACAAGCGGACTCAGACGATCTCCTCCAATGGAATTCTACAACGTCTCAGAGTCTTTGAACTTTTAACCCATAAGTATATACGCTAAACCTTAGTTCTGCTGAGCAGTGGTTTAAATTGTAGAATTTAATTCGTGACATTCACATAGCAACGATCTTTACCGGTCCCTACATGGAATATTACTTTCGACGAGTTTTGGGGGTTGCAGGATTATTACGACGACATTGAGGCCAGTACGAGTTAAACATGAGTGGCTCATTCAGCGCTTTGAGAGTGAAACTTAGAGCCATGATGACCTAACAGAAGTTATGCTCTAAAATCTCGTTGCCTCGATCTTCCGACTAACTTTGAAGTGATGGTCGTTTCTCCCGATCCTGAGGAGATACAGTTCAACAAGCTCAAGGTAGGTGGTCCTTCCAGCTCGACCAGTGACATGGTTGGTGAGAGCCCGACTCTCCATGAAAGTCCTATGGTGATCGTGTCGGACTGACGAGGATGCTGACTTGAAGGACACGACTGGTCACAAGGTCGCGCTGACCGCGAGACTGAGAAAGTGGAAAAAGAGTTGTATTGGCTCAATTTGTAGACAAAAAAGTTAATATACAAGTTCTATACATTACAAATAATATGACTCAATTTTATTTGCAAAGAGAACAAAGTTTTAAACATCCATGTAGTCGAGAAAATTGGAGATTCCAAATATACCAGACTTATGCTATCTAACATGCTAAATTAAGAAGTGAAATCAATGAATAATACAGAATTTTTTATTTAGAAAATCAAGGGCATGCCAATGGTGGTAATAACACACATTTTTGGGGCAAAAGTTGGTTGGAAGCCCTTGAATATAGCATGTTTTTAATTACATCATGTATCTAACCTAATAAGTGTATCTAATTCCAAAGCCATTTTTTCACTATTTAAATAACCTACATTCTTAACACTGCTGGGAATCATCCACAAAAAGAAAAGAAAATATAGAGAGATAACTCAACCATCCTTTTTCTAGTTCTCCCTGCAACCCCAAGAACAATAAAGGGGTAGCATTTAAAGGCAAAATGGAATTCTCTTTATCTATTTATTTTTCCTTTTTTTTTATATATAATAGTTCATTTTTATTTTCAAATTTCCATTTTTTTGTTTTTAAAAAAAGTTGATATGATGATAAAATTTTGGCAAAATTGTATTTTATGCCCTGTAATTATGCGCGTCTTTTTAGTTTGGCAAAAGTGCCCCAAAACTTGTTAAAACCCGGAATTCACGCCCAATTTACCTACAAGTTACTGGGTTTGACCGGTTTTTCATGTGGCAAAACAGGACAGTAACTTGTTAAAGTTCGAAATTTGTGCCCAAATTGAGTACGAATTTCGGGTTTTAACAAGTTTCAGGACACTTTTGCCAAACCAAAAAGAAGTTGTCCACACATTTGGCACATACCCCTAGTTTACATGACATAAAATGCAATTTTGCCTTAAATTTTTGCCTGTCATGGGAGATGATCATAATGCTTGAATTTTGCACATTAGTTGCATGGTCGATTTACTTCCATAATATTTATTACATAATTATTTAACCATTTTTATTTTTTGGTTTATGAATATTTCAATATATTATTGTAGCCAATTATTTGATTTTTAATAGTTTAGTCACAAATGAATTCTCTAATCTCTTCCTAAAAAAATAATAATATGAATAAATGATCCTTTGTTCTCAAGAAAGGTTTAATCCTTTTTGTCTTCCCATATTATAAACCAAAAAGATTTGGATATTGTACTGAATTCTGGA